TAATCCTTTCTGGTTTTTTGCCACCAGGCAGTAGTCTTGCCTGACCTAAAGATGTGAAAAGAAGCCTAGATAGGAAAAAGAGGCACTGGAATACACTATTGTAACCAGAAAATGCGTAAACCGATGCTTTTATGTTGACTTTGCTTGATGATGAAATGGAGGAGCAGACTGAAAGAACAAGCTTGCTGAATCCAGTTTTCCCTCAAGGATGAGTTAAGCTGGAGTGGGTGGAATTATACTCGGGTGAAACTGTCTCAAATCCATGTGGAAACTTAACCCAGCTTTCAAACACAAATAAATAGTGCCAGGTAATAAATCTGCTTGGCGAGTGATTTGATCAGGTGCTGATCTGGGCTAGGTGGTGGAGATGGATGGGGAAACCTGAATAACCGCAGTTTTCTGAAGGGGACAGTGGGAAAGAATGGTACCTTCCTTATGTTGCCAGGAAAAAAATAAATTAAAAAAACCAATCAGCCGATGATGAAATCTGGGTATTTCTGTCCTCATGCCAGTTTCTTTCTATTCAGTGAAAAGAGGTGGCGTTTGGAGACATTACTGTAAGCCTTAGGCAAGAACTGAAATCCCTCAGTATCATCGCTGGCAGCTTGAGCAGTATTTGGAGAACATTACTCACTGCAGTTATCTGAGGCTAAACAGGGAATTGTTAACATCCATCTGTGTAGAAATCATCCAGGTTACAGAGGCAGTGTGGGCTTGTAGAAGGGCTTATGTGCCCCAAAGTTGATCATTTCCCCCCCACATTTATTTTAACTGTGGTCTAGTAACAAGTACTTTCTTGTCCCACAAACCGTACCTCGTTTGGTGCTGACAGCTGTTGTTCTTCAAAGCAATACTGAACACTGAGTGGTGTCTTTTACTTAGCTGTAAGAAAATGAGGCTATTCCAGTCATGTCCTTGTATCTGACCTTGCTGAGGTAGTCCTCTTGTGTCATCCCGATTGCTTGCTTTTAAATGAGCCTTTGTGAATGGCTGTCCATTCTCTGTTTGGTGATTTGTATGTCCAGAACCTAAAGAATTATTCTGATAAACAGCAAGAGCTTGAAGGGATAGGAAGTGACAGGTGGAAAATGAAATTAGGACAGAAAACTTCATTGCCCTGTACCTTGTCCAAAGTGGGTGTGAAGGCAGAAGAGCATTTGATACCTGCTTTGCAGTCTAGCGAGTTAACTTTTTAAGGTGTAAGGCAATGAAGGATTGTGCCCAAAATGTGCAATTGCTGTATTTTCATGTTGTGGTCAAGGCTTGCTGATCCCTTTGCAAGACCGTTTGAAGATGTTATGATTTCTGGTGAAACCAATGGGTTTAGAGCTGCTTTTTTGTCTGTGTAAATGGGCATGTTCAGGTGACAATGATTTCTAAAAGCTTCACCCTATTATTTGATGTAAGGCCAGCTAGAAGGCCTTGGTATTCTCCATGTAATTCTGTGAAGCAGCAGGTCTTTCTGGTAATTACCTTCACTCTATTTCCATCAAATACTGCTTGAAACTTTGGCTTAGTAAAACAGAGAACATGCAGCAGCAGCAGCTGTCATCTCCGAGCCAGCAGTGCAGACCAGATGTGCGACGTTAGGGACATCTCTCTCTTCAAATGCTTTTATACTGTTGGAAAAAGTGCTTTAGCTCCATAGCTTATAAACGCGCACCAGGCACAGCTTACAGGACCAGCAGTGCTGTCTGTATTTGAGAGAACAGGGATGTTTGCACTTGCTGTCAGGTTTGGATGCTTTTAGTAAAATCTGCAGATGCTACATAACATGGATATCGCTGTCCTTACTTGTCCATAGAGTTCATTGAGACAAAAAACAGAGACAATTAATCTTTCTAAACCTCACTGCCTTGATTGATCCAGACACTCAAGAGGCAGGATACCTTTGCTGTCATAAAACCCAGAAAAACTCTGCTACTTTATATTTAAAAAAAAAAAAAAAAGGCATTGAAATTTATGAGAGCAGCTGGGGAAGCAACTGAGAAGCACTGGTCCAGGGAACTGCCAGCCAGCACCTCAAGTGACTGATTGGACTAACAGAGTCCATCAGTTTCCCATGTGTATTAGTGCTGCTCGCTTGGCTTTTCACGGTCATTTTTAAGGCAATAACTGTCCTAGCAAATCAGCAATATCATTTAACTACTGCTGTTGTCTAAACTAGTTTCATGGTCATCCATTTTCTAAAGTCACCAAATTTTATTATTTACCCACAATACAATTATACCAAAACATACATATATTTAAGAAAAAGAAACACCTTTATAGAAATGTTGATAGTGCTTTGAAATCCTCTGTCACCGCTGGGGCTCTGTTAGACATTGCTAGAGGTCTCCCCGCTTGAATATTCCCCTGTTGCGCTGGGCAGAACAAACTTCACGTATCTTCCCTTCTCCCAGCCCCTCCTGATTCGCAGAAGTCTTTGCTGGATGCAGGGCAGGTTGAAGATGACTTTTGCTAGGATCACAGTACATGGGACGAGCAGCGTGAGGGTGTAGGTCGGAGGCAGGTAGAATTTGTACTGGTTCTCATCGAAGGCCCTCGACCATCCGTACGTGAGTGTGTGCAGAGTGCTGATTACCAAGGCAATAAACCCAAGGGTGGACTAAAAGGAAGCGAAACACACGCCAGTTAGCAGAGGACTTCGTGTCTGGCTATTTTCCTATATTTTGTTACACTATTTCCTAATTGTATATAGCACAGAGAAAGCAATGCATATTCCTACATTTCTTGGACAGAATAAAACATGACTGGAAACCTTTCCTGCGTAGCGTGCCAGACTGCATTTTTCTTTTTCTAATCAGAGGTTAAGTGTGATATTAGAAACTCAGCAGGAGTTTCCCGGAAGATGCTGCCAACTTGGCTGAGAGGTGGGCTCCCGCCCCCCCTCCCCTGCAAAACAGCGGCCCCCAGCCCCTGCCGAGCCGGTAACCCCAGGCAGCTCACAAACGCTCCTCCCGAGCCGCAGCTGCCAGCTCTGCCGCCTGCCGGTCCGTGGCTGGCGAGAGGCTGCTGACCGCCGGCGTGAGGCATCAGCGTCGTGGCTCTGGACCAGCAGTTGGCACTGCCAGAAGTCGGTGAAGCCTGTAGCTTCGCACAGAGCAAAGACACCTTCAGGTAACTGCTGTCATCTACAGGAAAATGAGATTATGGAGACAGAAATGCTCTGGTTGGAGGCGAGCAACAGCCCTGAAGGGTTTCCTTCTCTGTCTTAGGGATCTGTGCTGGTTCGTGAGTCAGACCAGCAGGCTGTATCATGGACTAAGTCCATGAAATGGAGAATCGAGAGCCCTTTATCCACTCGGGGAGGCAGCAAGGACCCAGCCCCTGTTCTGCAGACAAGAACTTTCCCCATTTCCAGCTGAGATCACGGCTCCCAAGCACCCACAGAGAATGTTTTGCCTGAATATTTCCAACTCCCTCTGAGGGTTGCTCTCAAGAGGGGTTTTAAACTGGTCCCCTCACCGGTGGTTTCCTGCCAGCATCAGAGGTGGTGGCTCCTGAGCTCGCCAGCTCCCACTGGCACTCAGCAGGAGCTGGACACTCACTCCTGGAGGCATCTCAAGTATTAACCTTTGCTGCTGTGTTTTCAAAGAAAAGCACGGGTGTAGCATATTGCTCTGCTGCCCTACTTGGAACGCTTGGCCTAAGCCTGCGAAAATAACCAAATTTCAAGATGCCTAGACAGGGAAAATGTTGCTGCTGATGTCCCTAACTTAGGGAAGGAAGCCTTTACAAGTCAAAATACCTGGCTTGGTGCAGCTAGTTGGAGATCAGCAAGAAACATGGTCTTTCTGAAGGTATGTCCAGGAAAGAGGGCACAGTAGGGAAATAAGGGACCAGGGGAAGACAGGAGGAAGGACTCATCATTTTCTCTTGAAAAAGTAATCTCAGCTGGAAAACTACTCAATTCTAAGCATCCCTTCTTATTTTTGATTTTTGGGAAACTATTTAAAAACACAGACAACTTTTTAAAACGTCCCACGTTGTTACCAACAAACTATACAAAGAATCCTCTAACCTTCAGAGCCAATCATTTAGGCAGCTGAGAGGAGGGGAGGGAAGGAGAGCTCTAAAACACGCTACCAGATGGAGGTACTTCACTTTTACAGCACCTATCAGGCAGTCATGTGGGTGTCACTGAGTCCTGCCAAGATTTCACCTGTACAACACCCTGCCAAGGTCAGGAACTCTCCTCTCTGCGTTACAGCTGAGCATTACTCAATGTTGTGCCAGGAGTCGGGAGGTGATGTGAACTCATCTTCAGTCCTGCCTGCATCCCCACACCCATCCTCTCTTCCAGGGACAGACATCCTTCTTACCAAAAGCCATGTCCCATTCCTAAGCCAAAGTGGTAACAAGCAGCAAACCCACGGGGTCGAGATTGGTTTCACTTGGAAAATTAAGGGGGAGTTTGCTGGAATATGCCACGATTGCAGCTGAACCTAACAGCAGGACCCGACCCATAGCTCATCCATTATTTATCAACTCTGAGCTTCTCTCCAACGGGCAAGAAAAAAAAAAAATCCCTGGGTGGCAAAAGGTTGGAAGTACCATCTTGAGATGTAAAGCGGGGCAGTGGGAAAGGGGACAGAGTGAAGTCCAAGGGCAGCAGGCGCTTTCTGCCCTGGGTGGAGGGTGCCTTTGGAGTCAGCCCGAGCGGGACTCTATGCACGGCAGAGATGTCAGAGCTGGAGATAATTAGTTTGTTCCTCTACAGTTTCTCTCTCAACCTTGGCTGGTACCCGGGGAGAGCAGGAATAGAAATTAACAGGACAAAAGGTGACAAACCATCACAGGCGCTCAGTGACCCACCTTTGCGTGTGGATGGTGGGTCACATGAAACAAAAAAGCTAATTGGCAAAAAAAGTGTGGATAAGCTGCCGATGGTGGGAAACAGCGCTGGCAGCTCCTCAGACCGCAGCAACAGGCTGATCTGCTCCTAACACAAATGGCCGGCCTGCCTGGTGACAGCCCAGGTCCTGGGGCTGAGCAGGGGGTGCCCGGGGGGGTCCCAGTGCCATCGGCTGGCTGGAGGACCTGCGGTCAGCAGGACCCCACGGCTGCACCCACCAGACAAGCCGTCAGCTGGGTAGAGGTTGATCTATAAGCATACGAAAGACAAAAGTTTTGCTGATGGCAGCTTAGCTCAGTATATACAGCTCAATATATCCTCAGTATAGGACAACGCAGAGCCTGCCGAGCACCCCACAGGGGCTGATTTGCCAATGTGCTTAGCCCTCATACTGCACTGAGTATTGAAGCTCTGTTCTCATTTATCCTCTCAGTTTTTGGCTATAGAGCTTTTTTTTTTTTAATTTTATTTTTTTTTTAGCTGGGGCAGGGTGGGTTTTTTTCTCTGTCACAGCATGGGGAATATGGGGCCACCACCCACGTAAGGAGTTAAAGATGGCTGTATGAAGATGGTATCTTCCTAACGCAGGCTTTGCAGCTATTTTCTGTTCTGTATTGACTCCTGTATCTCCCCCATCGCCTTGGTGTCTGCGAGGCTCCCTGTAATGCACCAGCGAAGGTGATTCAGTCGCATGTGGCTCATTTAGAAATGTCTGGGCAGCGTCCAAAGCCAACAGCCCCTTCCTGACCCAAATACGCTTCTGACTTCTGCTGCCGTCAGTCCCGTGAAGTCATTAGTCCCATGGAAGCGGCTCTGGTTCACACTTTGTCGACGGGAAGGTTAGAAAAGGTCTGATGACAGATTCTTTATATCTTGTGATACACGAGCGAAGAAAGAAACCAGGTCAATTCAACCTTCAAATTCCAGGAGGACTTCTCAGGGTGGGAAGGTAAAGGCAATCATACACATTTTTACTTCTTAGCCAATTAGAGTTGATTTGTAAATCACTGGGGATCATTAAAAATGTATGCTATAAGTTGAGTTACATACGAATCATTCCTGTTATCCAGTGTCTCAATCCTGTATGTTTTCTGTTAATCAAACCTGGACATATAAGGGAATTGTGTATCCAATTTAACTGTCCTTAATTGAAAACTGTACATGTGCAGGAACGACTGTAAAAATTAACTGGTTTTTTTTTTTCCCCTAAAACCTTAGCAACGATCCAAATGGGATTTTTGGCCCGCGGGGCAACAGATGCATATTTTAAGAGCGTGGCACTATCCCGTGACACTAATACAAGTGCACACACTGCTGCTGGAAAATGTCAGACTTGGGAAGCTCTGAGTAAGGAAGGGACTAAAGTGGCTCCTAGATTTGTAAGAAGCCCCAGCCCTCTCTCGAATGTGGCTTTTGGTAGAGCATCTCTCAAACACGGTAGCCAGTTCAACTGAGATGGCAACAAATTGCTGCATTTTCTGGAAGTGGGCTGGCTGGGGTGGCTGCGCACCCCATTTTCCCTCTCTTTTACTCTTCCCAGGCACGGGAAACCACGATGCCTCTGATGTACTGGAAGAGGGTCAAGCGCCAAAGAGCCCAAATATTTGAGAAAGCAGTCTGGTGTTTCACCCCTTGTATTTACATTGTGCCGCTGCGCATTAATTCAGGGAGCATCGCAGTGCGCTGCAGGAATGTTAACCTCCCGAGTCTGGGAGCAGTGGCTCTATCTGCTCTTCATTTCCTGAAGAAAGGCACCACCAACTTATCAGAGAGTAAATCATTTAAATGAGTCCTTGTTAAAAAAAAAAAACACCAACAAAAAAACACCAAAAAATGGAAGCTAACGTGCTAAGAGATCTGTAACCCGCTCTTTTTACATGGTATTTCCACAGTAGGGCACAATATCAGCTGTGCCTCTCCTGCATGTGATCCGCTGGGAGCTGGTGTCACACTGTCATGCCTTATCCCACGCGGACAGAAATAGGTGTATCTTTCCACGAACTAAGCCGGCCAGTTCCCATGTGGGGCAGCCAAGAGCTATTTTGGAGCCGACCCGCACTTATTTGTCTCATCCCAGTGCTGACATACCCTTCGAAAGACGCTGGAAGGGGTCCCAAAGGGCAGATGCGACAGTCGTGTTACATACACTGGTAGGAGATGGCACCACTACTTTGCCGTGACGGCGTGTATGTGACATGACACACTGCCAGCACCCTCCAGGAGAGCTGACGGGCTGCCTGGGGAGCCAAAGGGAAATGCAGGGGGTTTCAAAGCCTCCTTCCAGGCTGCAAAGGAGTATTTCCCATCATCTGCTATTCCTGGTAGGAGATGCCTAAGCCAGGATCGATTTATCCAACGTCCCAGCGGCTGCAGCCCTCCCCTGAGACGTGGTGGCGAGAATTAATATGCTCCCGCTGTCTGATCTGAAAGAGGGATTTAAAGCCAGGTCTCCCTTCTCCCTGAGGGATGATCTCTTGGGGTCAAGCTCTCCTGGTGAGGCTCTTCTACTCAGTGTAAATAATTACTCACTAACCTACAGCAAGAGAGGTAAAAAAAAGACGAACTGACTCGCTCGCTTGGTGATGAGGGCACTTGTGGGGGGTGCGGGCTTCAAACTCCTGCTCTAATGAATATTGAATTATTTATATGCCGCTGAAGAGCTTCAAACAGGCGAGGCTGGATGATAGATATTGACCTCTGCATTCCCAAACCCTGCCCTCCCCTTCTGAAGGGTTAGACGTGATGCCCGGACGAGGCTCCGCTGGGGGAATGCCGGGGTAGGGGGTCCCATGGGGGGTGACGCGTGTCGGGGTGCCACGTGGGTCACTGCAGAGGGACTTGAAGCCTGGCACGTGCTATGCAGCAGCGATGGAGGAAACACAAGTGATAAGGGGCTTCAGGGCTATGGGGTACGACAGTGACGTGGTGAGTGGAATTTGGGGAATTTAGTCTCAGACTGAGCTCTGAGGTGCAGGGAATACTGGAAGGTTCATTCCCTGCTACCCCCATCAGTTAGCCCTAAGCCTGGCTCCAAGCGCATCCCTGAGAGCGCTGCAGCCCCCAAATTTGGGGGTTGTGAACGTTCCATGTTGTGGACTCAGGTCACTATGGGAATTTGGCCATTGGGAGCTTGGACATCGCTGCAAGTGGGAAGAAGGCTCCTAAACCACTGGAGAAAGAAGCCACTTTGGAGAAAGAAAAATTACACTCCTAATTCACTTTTTAGAATCAGACACAGACTTTTCATTGAAATCCCACCCAGTGCTCTATGCTTCTCGAGCTCTGGCATTTTTATAGGCAAGTCTGCGGCTTTTCAAACCTCTCTATTCCATATTAACTAACTGTTAACTTTTCAGAAGCTCACTTTCCCTCAAATGCAAGGGCAGATCTCCAAAGGGGGATCTTGCCCACAGGAGGGAACAACCCTGCCCTCTCCAAATGACCCCAGAGCTTTCTGCCTTTCTAACTCGTGTGCCTTCGGGAGGTTTTTAGCTGTGAACGGCAGCGCTGCTCCCGGGAACACAGCGAGGGGGAAAGGAGGACTCTGCCGGGGGGTGTCAGGCAGGCAAAGCCCAGGCTGGTTTTTACTCAGGATCTGTAACTAATGCTGGTAAACGCAGGGTGAGAAGGAACTGCAGCCAAGACATTAAAGACTCCCTCCTGCAAAGCCTGCTGCTAATCCTCACGGAGACGCCCGTGACGCTGCCCCATCCCTGGAAGTGTTCGAGGCCCGGTCGGCCTGACCCTGACTGCAAAATCACTCTCTGGCATCGGCGAATGTCAACTTTACCTGAATGAAACTGAATTCCCTCCAGTTGAGAGAGTTTGCGATGGATGGAAGTGAAGTGATGGCAAGTAACGACAGCAAGCCCAGGGCAATTATTCCAACAGAGATATAAATCTCCATCCTCCAGACTTCCTCCTCTACCCAGACATTCATCTTCTTCTCCACAGCCTGGCATGACAACGAAGGTTTGTTAAAACGGAGCGCTTAGGAATAGAGGAACTGAATTTTATCTGTACTCGTTTTGGTTTTGGAAGCAGGTTTCCTGGATGAACACTGGGTCCTGTTCACACCTCCAGCGCTATTTGCCTATTTGGGAGGTGTGGACATGCTCTTTTACCCCACCACCATTTGGCCAAAGCTAGACCTGATTTGAAGCCTGCTGGGAAGAACTGCTGAAGGCTCTCAGCTCCCACAGCCTGTAACCACAGCAGCAAGCCCCAAAGTTGCATTTGGAAAGATAATTAGAACGAGAAGTCAGTTTAAAGCCATGAAAACAAATACAGATGCTTCAATATGCAGTAGACTCCTAATAACCTTCGTTTTAAGTGCATTTAGGGGGGAAATTGTTCATACTAATGGAAGGGAAGATGGGTTTTATGCTGCATGGCAAACAGAAACATTTAGAACCATCCTCTTTAGCCCATTAAATGGGTTTAATTTACTAAACAAAGATGTTGCTAGAAAACAGGAGGTAGAGGGGAAATGAACACAGGATGCTTGCCCGAGATTAATGTGCGACTGTGGCAATCGAGAAAGACCTGCTCGAAGCTGGAGCTGAGAGTCTGAGGATGTTGTTTGATGGATGCTTTGAACAGGCACTGCTGCCCAAACCAGCCGTCCTGCTCACCGCTGCCCCCACGGCCCCTTCCCTCCTCGCTGGCGGGACAAGTATTTGGAAACACTCAGGCAAATATCCCAGCTCAGAAAGCAGACTGGATGCAGGGCAATTCCTAGATTAGGTTCCCCACTCATCTGCATGAAGCTTGTGCCATCCCAGGAGGGAGCGGGGAGGAGCAGCGGGAAGGCAGGGGCAGGAGAAGGGCAAAATCCCATTTTCCCATGCCACTGTCAAGTTACAGAGCTGGCTGAATTGCCTGAAGGTAGCAATCTCGCGCTGGATAAACACTGCCAAGAGTCTCAATAAGGCAATAAAGTCCTTTTCCGTTTCCCCCTTCTCTTAGACTGTGACCAGTTCTTCACCATCATTTTGCTAAACTCCTGGAGGCACATTGTGTTGAGGACACACTTTCCACAAAACAGAGCCCCCGGGTTATGACTTGGTCACTCCAGCAGGCACCTACTGTGCCCGTCAGTGCGAGCGAACAGGGATCTCCCAAAATCTAGGGAGAAGAGTTGAGGGGAACTATGCTCCCTCCACCACTGGATTTCTCCCCTCCAAGCATTTTTTCTGCCTCTGCCCCAGTCTTGCACGTGCCGGGTGCTGGGCAAGGCTGGTTTCCAAGGCTTGTCTGTGCTTCTGGGGAGCAATGGCACGAGGGAGTTTGATCCTAGCCCTGGCTGTAAATGCACGGGCAACACCCTGCTAAGATGGCTGGTCCTCAGTGCAGAGGCAGGAGAGGGACTTTTTACAAGGGCGTGTAGTGATGGGACGAGAGGTAATGGCTTCGAACTGGAAGAGGGTAAATTTAGATTAGATATTAGGAAGAAATTTTTCACTGTGAGGGTGGTGAGGCACTGGCACAGGTTGCCCAGAGAAGCTGTGGATGCCCCATCCCTGGAGGTGTTGAAGGCCAGGCTGGATGGGGCTTGGAGCAACCTGGGCTGGTGGGAGGTGTCCCTGCCCATGGCAGAGGGGGTGGAACTAGATGATCTTTAAGGTTCCTTCCAACCTAAACCGTTCTATGACTCTGTGGGTGCATGCCTGGTGCGCGGTGTGTGGGTGCCTCGTGGAAGAAGTGCTCATACAGATCCCAGCTTATGCCCACTGTCCCACGCACGCTTTGGAAAGTGAATGGGAAGACCAAGATATTCAGCCCAACATCTGGATGTGTGTAGAAGATTACTACAGGCGCTGACCTGAAGAGTACCCACATTACCTGCTTGACGGCTGTCTCGATTAACTGGTAGCGGTGGGAGCGGCGCATGGGCAGACAGAGGCTGTACACGGCATGCAAAGCTGCACAGAAGAAGCTGAGGAGACCAATCTGCTTTCGGTGCTGGAGCCACTGGTCAAGCCAATCTGGAAAGCGCCTGTATTTGGTGCCATAGTAGAGCTGCGAGCAGGCTGCCAGCACCCCGGGCAGGTAGACGAGAGACAGCATGACGTAGGCCACGCAAGGCAGCGTTGTGTTGACCACCTCGATGGGGATCTTGTAGAACTTGTTCTTCTGCTCCCTGATGTAAGGGTGGATGACCTGCCGGACCAGGTTGTAAGTGAAGAAGCACAGAAAGAGCCCCAGAGCCAAAAAGATGGGGATTTTCCAGGCTGGCAAGAGGCGCAAGGGAATGTTCTCGATCTCACAGGCTGATGACATGCAGCCCATGTCCACAGGGGTGAATCCCATGACTTGAGCAATTTCTGCTACAGTGCGCTTGGCTTCTTGGTTATTTGAGCAAATCAGAACCTGCAACGGACAGAAAGATACATATAGGGCAAAGAGAGACCAGGCTGCTGGGAACGTGTGTGTCGGGAGGGATGCTGTGCTAAAGGAAGCCTATATTATGCCACTGAGCATCATGCTTGCCAGCAGGCTTTCTGATGGGGATTTACCCTGGCTGCCAAAGACCTCTCTGCTGGACAGGTTTCCTTTCATGTGGGCACCACCAGTTGGTTTTACTGGCTGTGTTTAGATAAACAGACAATTAAATAATAATTTTCACGTAGGTAGAGGGTCCAAAGACTACAAAGCATGAAGTAAGTGAGGGTACTCCATTTCTGAGCAAAGAAACGCAGAAGCTACAGGATGGTGTCTGGAGGCCACGGCTGGTGCTCAGACCCCTTCTCCTGGAGCCTCAGGCCACTTGCCGATGCTGTCAGACCTCAGCTACTGAAACTATTGGGATTTGGTCCTTGTCAGAAGAAAACAATACCTGCTTATTTCCATCCCTGGCACCTGACTGCAGCGTCCATGCAGAAACCACGTTAAACCCCTTGACCACGGTGCAGGCTGGGAACAGGGAAGCCAAGTACTCGGCGTTGGATTCTTTGTGATGGTTGATCTCAGTGTTGTTACTAACGTCCACCAGGATCTTGCCCGCTAGCACATCAGCCAGGTCACAGAGGGTGGAGTAATGTTCCCTGAAAACCGCCACAAAAATGACATCCGTCTTCTTCACCGCCTCGGCCTGGAAGGTGACTTCTGCTGCAGAAGGGAAGAGACCGGCTTTGCGCTTCGGGTTGCGGCTGCCGACCACCACCTTGAATCCGGAGCACACCAGGCGGATGGCCAACGACCGCGCAAAGTCCCCGCTGCCCAGCACCCCGATGGTGCGGCCGGCTGCAGGCGTGATGCTGGGGTCTCCCTCTGTGCTCCGATGGCCCAGGAGGGGTTTGGCCATGTCTCCTCCGGACATCCTGGCAGGAAAAACAAAGGGAAATGCAAGTTCATTGTGAAGCTCTTGCAGAGACCCAGACCACATCTGCGGTCATGGGGAAAAATGCCACTTACTTAGTCAACTTGAACAGAATAGCACGTGGTTTTGGTCCCTGTAGCCCAGGACACATCTGCCAAACCCACCAGTAAGTGTGCAGTGATGTACAAGCACCATTGGAGGGGGACAAAGCACCACGCTGGGTTGGAAGGCAAAGGGTTTTAGGAAGGTTTCCTGGGTTTGCGTGATCCAAAACCTGCTGGAGGCACTCATCCATCCTTTGCTGTTCTTCATGCTGGCATCTCACACTGCAAAGCCAAGGCAATGCTAACAACTAACAGACCCCTGTGGAGCTACCAGGCATCTTCTGAAAAGCCCAAGGCTGGGGGTCCATGGGGATCCATGAGCCCACATTTGGGAAAGCCGAGGGGGTGTTTCTGATTTGCAGGAGCAGAATCAAGGCAGGGAATTTAAGTTGAAATGAAAGTGTCCTAAAAGTGGTAAAGGAAGAGAGTTGCAGCCTGTGCCTGTTCCAATATTTGGGTCTGGCAAGCGCTGTTTGCTTCAGCTCTTCAATGAGTAATGAGAACTTACTTCTGACATTTAAAAAATATATTAAAACATGATGGGATTTGCTCATGAAAGATCTTGATGAGCTTTACAAACGTTAATGAATTTTGCCCTGTAACACTCTGCTCTCTGTAACAGATTAGATATTGAGGCCACGGAGAGGTTTTAAGCAGATCAATAAATTCATGGGCAGCACACCAGCCAGCCCTGGAGGACAGGAGAAACTCAGGCAGGCAACTGCCAGGCTGCTCCCGGGATGTGCCACCGGCGGCTCAAATCTGCCTCCTGGCTTAAGGAATGGCAAATTTGCCTTTAAGGAATGACAATTTCCTTAAGGGCAGATTTTTAAAGGGCTCAGGATGTGGCCCAGGGAACTTACACACCAGGACATCTGGCTTTTGAATTGGGGACGCTGGTGGAGATTACAATAAAGACCATAATTAACAAACTCATGATATATCAAGGCCCAAGACAACTCGGTTTTAGTGGAGCACAGTCTTGCCTTGTAGTTAGTCAAGTTCTTTCAAAGTGAAGGTGACCACTCCAATGAGGTGACCTGGTCCCTGGCGCAGGCTGTGTTTTTCATAGGCTTTTGGCAATGTCCTTCACCCAAGGCTCTTCTGGGATTGGTGTAGTAGTGGTGCAAAGGGGAAGGGCACTTCTGCATGAATAGTTACCAATGGGAAACAAAGAGTAAGAAGAAATAAGTAATTTTCATAATGGGAATAGGTTATCAAGGGATATCCCCGAGGATCTGTGCTGTTCAACATGCTCATAAGCGATCTGGGAAAGGGAGTGAATATTGAAAAGACAGAGCTTGTGCAAGATCATAATTTAGGACAGTCAATCTTTATTGTGAAGAATCTGCAGAAGGATCTCCTCATTCAAAGTGCCTGAGCACCAAAATTCACTACTGACACATGGCAAGAGCTGCCTATGGGCCTAACCCCCCCTAATTATATATACAATTTAATGAGCTGTAAATTTGTTAAAACCTCTCAGAAAAATAATCTGAGGGTCACATTACTCTGAAAATACCAGCGCGGTGCTCCCTGGCAGGTACGCATCGAACAGAGCCTGAGTTCCTGGGGAAGAAGGTCTCACACAGCAACCACGGTCTCTCAGTCCTGCTCCTCATGGAAAGCCCACAAAACACCTTCAACAGATGGACCTCGAAACTGTAATTCACTGTTCTGGATACAAAAAAACCCCATGGGTATAGTGACAATACTGTTTCTATGGCAGAGGTCTGCCGGCTGTCCTACCCTCTCACCAAGAACCCCCCTGTCCCAGAGACCAAAGGTGTGTTCATGGAAGAAGTGCTCTCAGAAGAAAACGAGCGCCAAAGAAAGGCGTGATGACTTCTCCCCTTTAATAACACCTTTCCTCTGCTCCCCACCGTATCACGTAGACTTTCTTTCGTGCTCCAGGTGAGTAAGAGAGTCCTGTTAAACTCAGAATGACTCATACTTCACTCTGAAGGTTTCTGCTTCTGTTCCAGACCTGCAGAAGGGTTTGTGTGCCGCGAGGCTGATTTGGCGATGCTGCCTGTGTGTCAGCTGGGTTAACCCAAGCTGCCGCCTGGGCACACACCCCTGCCTTAGGTATATTCCACTGGTATCACAGTCACTAGGATGATTCATCCAAGAGTTAGTGGGAAAGGCGTACAAAACAACAGAGAACGCTCCTGGACCACTGTATAAATCCATACGCTGAACGGCACAGTGCAGTTCTGCTCACTCCACTGCAAAAAAAAAGAAGGAATAAAACTAGAAGAGGGCCACAGGGCAAGAGTGAGAGAGATGACAAGGGCTGTCAGCTTGGAAAAGGAACACATGGGGAAGGAGGGAGAAGGGAAAGCCTGGGATTTCTCAGGGTGAAGAGCAACCTCACAAAGTGGAGCTCAGGTCAACAGGAATGCTGGAGAGCAATACGGACACACCAGTCCTCTTCGTCCACAACCAGCTGTACTGCAAACCCCCTAATGTAAAGTAAAGTAGCTCTACCCGAAAAGATGATGTTGGTTTTTTGGGGTTTGTTTTCTTTTTTCTGGCCCCTTCCTATCAAGACACTTTATCAAAAGCTCACTGCTTTACTTTTTGGAAACCTTCTCACTCCACCTAAATTTATTTGTGGCCAGAACTATTTGTTCTAGGGCCAACATTATTGTTCAGCCTGACGAGCTTTCTTTCCTACACCACCCCCTCCCCTTTTCCGCCACCTGTACACACAAAATGTTATCCCGAAATAGAGAGATGCATCTCTGGTTCTCAGCCATGGGGAGAGAAATCAACATCCAGGGTAACAAAGCGGTTGTTACCTGCAGACTCATTTTAAATCAATCTAAAGCACCTCAAAAGCTTTCTCCGTGCTCCCACGGGGACACAAATTTTGCTGCCAGCAAATTTTCTTGTAGTGTGTTTTCTCTGTCCTGCAACTGCCACTGAACATGCAGGGAGATGTTGGCAATGTTTGGAGGTAAACAGCTTTGCTGTCTCCAGTTAGTTCGATTAAAAAGGATGTCAGAATTAAATGGTCTTTGAAGTCAGCAGGATAGTTCAAAAGTAAGAAGCCTCAAAATGTTGTCTGTGGTTTTCGGTGTGATTATTTCAGTTGTACTTTGACTGTCGGGGCTTTGGAGCAGGACCCTGTCTCTGCTGCACAGCCCTTGACGGGATGGCAGCTCGGTCCCCGCTGCCAGCTGCTCTCTGGCACCACGGGTCACATCATTGCCATCACTGCCATGCATCGAAATCCTCCCAAGGAAGGGGGAGAAAATCCCTCTTTCACCATAACCGCATTTCACCAAGACAAATGCCATGGTCTCTGCCTAACAGATGCCTGGAAACGGAGTGTCTGATTAGGCAACAGTTTATTTCCCTTCTGTATCTCGGTGGAGCACGCAGACACCCCCTGCTCCCGACTTACCATGTTCACGCTGCTTTTTCTGCACCTATGGGCAATGTGGTGTTACTTGCTTAAAACTCTCCTTCCCAAAGCTAATTCTCCATGGCAAGGTCAACCCACCCAAAGTCAGCGCAAAGCGCGGTGGCCAGGATGCTGCGGAGTCACCCGGAGGCAAAGGAGGACAAAAGCGAATACCGCGGCGCTCAGATACGCCTTTGGCATGCTGCAGCCTTAGATAAACCTCATTTATTGATCTTCCCTATCAAGGAAACGCTACCCCTGCTAAGTTATGGCTCGTGCAATTCAAGGAGATCGGTTTCTTACCGAGGAAGCTACAAGCTGATTTAAAGCACAGCCCAGTAGAAGTAAACTAGCTTCAATCCCAACTGGGAAGCAGTTCCCTAATTAAAATATCTAATACAATGTAAAGCTGCCCTTCAGCTAGACTATTAATGACACTTTTATATCACTGCGTGGCGATGCTGTGTCCAGCTCTAGCACGCTTGTTCCTGCGTGCCATTCACCGACTGCACTGCAATCGCCGCTGCTATTTGCAGGACAACAGCAGTGATGGGCATCAAGCAAGACGGGGAGCTCCGCTCTGCCAGGCACCCTACCAAAACCGGCCAGAAGGCCACTCCTGCCCCAAAGAATGGGATCAGACAGACAAAAGCTGGGTGAAACGAAGCAGTCAAATCTCTGTTGCCCAGGCAGAGGGAGGGAGGGGTGGTCGCAGAAGAAAAACACGGATAATTCGATGTATTTTGCACCTGAGGCTTGGCAGAGCCTGTTAGCTTAGGCTCAGTGCCAGGCAAACAAGGTTTTTCTGCCTCTCTGCCCACGCTGAGCGGCCTCGCTCAGGTTTTGCAGCAGGACAGCCGTTCTGGACAGAGTGGGGCTGCAGGAGCCCCTTCAGGTGTCTCTGGGCTCACAGCAGAGTCAATCTGCCAAGCGGATCATCCCCCACCGCTAACAGGGAGCCGGCTCAGTCGTTATCCTCTTTGAACAGACGTGGGGGACCAAGATACTTATGATAACGGGACTCCAGCAAGTTTGCCTGGGAAGACCCTGATATCCTAGACCACGTCTTTAACAATGAGACCATCTTTTTGGGCCCCTTTCGCTTCCTCTGGTACAGGAGGGGAGCCTAGCTGGTTCCCGTAACTCGCAGTCTGGCCGCGTTTGAGCTGCAAACTCCAAAGAAGGATGGACATGCGGTGGCAAGGCACGAGCTCCACTTCAGTTCTAGCCAAAAAAATCAAGACCCGTTTCACTGCCTTCAGATTTATCAGATAAAAGACAACTTAGTTTTACAGTAAAAAAAAGCCATGTCTTAAACATATTGCTGAGTCAAACTGTGCCAAAGAACAGGACAACAATCTCATTAAGAGCTCCAAGTAATGGTCCTGTCCGGTGCAACCAAACTGGTTCCTCTTTGCACAAAAGCTCATCTCTGAGCTCAGCCTCACATACAGAGCCTGAGCCAGCAGTACCTTGGCAAAGAC